CCTCAGGTTCTGATGCTCAGAGGTGCAGACACACACACACACACACACACACACACACACACACACACACACACACATAGACAGTCCATGAGTAATTTCAGACTAACAAAAGCAGAAAAGACTCTTGATGCAGTGAAGTGAGATTAGAGTAAACTTCCAGGGAATGACTCCAACATGTCAAAACAAGAGAAAGTATGCTTAAGTTAACAAACGTGCTGTATTTCCTTGCCTTCCTAACTTGAGAAGGGCGGATGATAAAAGTTATCTGTTCTCAGATTCTGCCATCACTCAGTCGTTTGCTCTCTTTTGTTTGGTTTACAGTGCATATATTGCTGTGTCAACAGTGCCATTTACAGTACTTATCTCTGACCCTTGATAGCACCCTCCGGAAGTCAAATAAGACGTCTTCCTTTTAAAAGTGACGCGTTTCCAGTAATTTGAGCAGTACATGATGCTTTTTTTTATCATGCAGTGCAAAGTTAAGACAGGGAGTTGTGTCACTCTAGTTGTTGACATTTGCAGGATCTCTCTGAGAGGTCAGCTGCAGCAGAATGTGTGACTGCAAGCAAGCAGAAACATGCACAATACAAACCCTCTCTGCACTCAACCCTGCCTGTTGAACAGCCAATAAATACCTTTAAAAAAAAGGATGAATGTGTGGGTCTTACCCAATGATGTAGGCCAGGACCCCCAGCTGGATCAGACGGCACACCACTCCCACCCGCCTGTTCCTCACCAGCACCTGGCGCGGGGTCTCATACTCGAAGAAGAAGTCAGAGAGGGCGTTGGTGATTTGGCTCTTCATCTTCTCTCCTCAGCTGACCCACAGAGAGGAGGGTCTCTCTCTCTTCCACTTGCATATAAACAACCAGACTCCACTTCTCCTGGTCGCCTCACTTGTGGCAAAGGTCCTCTGCCTCCTCTCATAAGTAACGTCTGACTCGCTTTATGAGAAGTCCTGAAGTGCAGGACTTCCTCCCTCCCTCTCATGCTTCTCTCTCTCTCCCTCCCTCTC